CAATTCTATCGAAGTAGAATTTCTTCCACCAAATACGACTTCACAACTTCAGCCAATGGACCAAGGTATAATACAAAACTTTAAAATTTTATATCGTAAAGAAGTTATTTGCAAAATGGTTAATGATATCGACGAAGGTAGATCTTTTTCGATAGGTTAGGTTAGGTTAGGCTTTGTAGGGATGGCTGAGCCGTTAAATATACCAGGCTTTTGCCTCTACTACTAGATGGAAGTGTGTTGAAGGTGATTTTTTTTTTTTCTAAAATTTTTGTTCTACCAACGTTAAAGGGTGAGGTTTGATTCTATGTTTAGTGGTTGGAGGGGGTGAGAGTTTTACCTAGGAGTCGGATGTGGGCATGAACGGAAAAGGAGTTTTTGTAGAACATCGATTTGGATTGAGTATGAATAGAATTTTGGATAGACTTGAAATTAACCGATTTTAGAAAGACCGAGTTTTTAACGATAAAGGGCATACCCGTTATCGTACAAATGTCGATATTTTGGACAGATTCGATACTTTTCTAACGTGAGGGACCGACAAAGGGTGCCCAGGAGGAGCCTGCATAAGAAAGAATCGGAGAGACGTACAGTTCTTAAATGTTGAGTTTCAAAGTCTTTGGGATGGGGCTAGAACGATTAAGTATGGGGTAAAGCATTGCGCAAACGCGAGTGGCGACCTTGGTGATGTCTTGGACGTGTTTATCGAAGGTGAGTTTGCGCTCGATTGTAACGCTGAGGTATTTGGCATGATTGGACTAGTTCACTGGATGGTTGTCGAGTAGTAATGGTGGGATGTGTGAAGTATTAGAACGTCCGAAAAGTATACTTATAGTCTTGGTCGGATTTATTTTATTCCCCAGTGATGAAATCATGTGGCAGCTAGGTTGAGTTGGTGTTGTAATTGTATGGCTGCTCGTTTCGGGTTTTTGTTTAAAGTAAAGAACATCGTGTCGTCAGCGAAAAGTGAGAGATGTGCTTTAGGAGTTGTTGGTATATCATTTATGTAAGTCAAGTAGAGAGTAGGTGAAAGGCAGGATCCTTGAGGGACTGCGAGTATGTGTCTGGTGGACGAGAATGAGTCTTTGATTTTTTTTGATGAAGGTACCGTCAGTGAGAAAGGATTCGATGATTTTAACGATTTCAGTCGGGATGTTGAGTTGGGATAACTTGTAGAGGAAACCTACGTGCCAGACTCGGTCGAAGGCTTTCTCCACGTCAAGAAAGACGAAAGCAGTGTTTACGTTGTCGTTATAGTTCTGGCTAAGTTGGTGAGTAAGTTTGGTCAGTTGTATTGTGGTAGAGTGTTCAGGTCTGAATTCGAATTGTTCTGGACGGATTTTGTCCAAGAGATTGTTTTTCAGGTGAGTGAAGATGATTCGCTCGTACATTCTGGATAGGGAGGACTTTGGGTCAACAAGTCTAAGTTGTGGGTCGTGAGTGTTTTGTGGTTTGTATACCGCTGTTACAAGTAATTCGTGGCCATTTAGTTGGATAAGGACGGAAGAGGTTTGAATGAGTGTGTTAAGAGTTATAGGTTGGTGAATGATGCGGCGGTGGATTAAAACAGCCGTACCACCGTGAGCAGGCGAGCCGTGGAAGGGCAGCAGATAATTTCTGTATGTGAAAAAGTTAGGAATGTGAAGTTTGGTAGAAGTGGGTAGACAGGTTTCGTTAAGTAAGATTATGTCGGTTTTCAGAAGGAGTGCGAAGGAACGTATCTCGTTGAGTTTGTGTTTGATACCGTTGGAGTTCCAAAAAAGTATTTTTCAGTTATTCATTTTGGGGCGAAAGTATGTACAGGAATGTTTTGATTGTTGTTTCTGTAAGTGTTTTCGGATCTTGATTGTTAGATAGTGCAGTCAAGAGGTTGGTGAGCAGGTTGAGGATCATTGACCAGTTAAGTGTTAGTACTGGGGAAGTTGAGAAGTGTGCGCTGGTTTAGATGTTGCAGCAGATTATGTCAGTGTAGATTTTTTTAAACGGAGGAGGTGGTGGTGTAGTGGTTGAGCTTGATTATACAGAGTTTTGGGTTGATGATAGAGATACCTGTTGCTTTTGAGCCAAGAGTTGGTGGCAGCCTCGGAAATTAGCCGTGTGTGGGCCACCACAGTTGCAGCATGTCGGAGATTGTTCGAGAGTTTTTGGGCAGACGTTGGCATTGTGGTATCCAGCGCATTTTGCGCATCCCGGCGGATGACCACAGTTACGAGAACCATTTCCAAGTCGTTGACACAAAAAGCACTGGGAAGGGCCGGAGGATTTAAGAGGTTTGACTGTGATTTGTAAATAAAATAAGTTATTAAGAACAAATATGTCTTTGGCTAGCGTTCCTCAGGGTGAGAATAAGTGGGAAAATCGGTGCTGTGTTGAAGCAATATCTTCTGGATCATGCGAAAATTTGTTGCATCAGCGGCCCTCTCGCCGGAGAATTTTGGTGACAAGGAGCTTCGGTGCAAATTTGGGAGAGTATAGATAACGGGGGTGACTTTTCGCCAGGAAACTGAGCTCAATATGATAGGAGGTGGTCTGGAGAGTGATGTAGTTTTAGACGGAGTTTATACAGTTGAGGTGGTAGTGGTTTTTGTAGTGAGTAATGTATCTGTAGAGTGTTAGGATGTCAGAAAGGATAGAGAGTGGTCTATTGAGAGGCTAGAGTTAGAAAAAGAGTCTAGAGTTTTAGAGTCGGACGATTTGGATGGTGTTGGGGTTGGGGGATCTGAACGTTGTAGTGCAATTTTCAGTGCTTTGTTGGTAGGGGGTTACCCCTTTACGTTATCTGGTCATAGTCAGAGTGGGTGTAACTTTTTGGGGGGGATGCTGTGGCTATGTGAGGGCGAAGCCCCACGACAGCTAGTTTTGGAGGGAACGTCGCTTCCGTTGCGGCTTTTCGTGGGAGCTGATTCCCTGTTGAGAACAGTAAAAACGGCTGTTTGAAGGAACTACTACTGACGGCTGGCTGCAGAGTGTTGGTTGGCAGTTGACGTGTTAGCAATTTGACTGTAGACTTTATAAGTTATTTATGGAGAGATTTTTTAATGGTCCTAGTAATATACCATTTCGGAAATCTTTACTGGCCCTGGTTGGTCAAAAGCTCTTCATATGATGAAAGTCACCCCATTATCTGGCAGTTTCTCTTAAACGGCGTGTTTTTCATCCGTCATAATGTTGTTTGATATTTCTGTAGAAACCTTTTTTATGGTCATGTCACTTATTTTAAGTGTGTTATATTTGCCTGTTACATTAACTTGGGAGGTTCTGTTGTGGTGTCCTGTCACAGATTTAATAAAACTAAAAATTGATCAAAGTACCTACTTAATATTTTGATTCGTATAAATAATATAACATACAATCTCATCAATGTTTATATTTATGTTTATGTTTTTTGCAAAAAAAGGGGCACCAACCTGATTTCTAAACAGTATCTAAGAACAAAAATATTATAAAAATGGTAGTTAATGTTTTATTATATTATTTAAGAAATTATTAATATGAATACTTAATGAATTATTATACGTCATACCTACGTTTATAAATACTAGAAAGTGGTGCTTAAATATTACACTTTTTTTCATAATTGTACTTTAATCTACAAGAAAATACTAGAATATAACCTCAAAGTTTGACATTGCAATTTTAGTGCTGCTTAAGGTCCAAGGCAAATGTTCTAACAATTTTTCTCCTTATTTTCATATGTCAAAACCCAAAATACCTTTTCTTTTAAATTAATTCTAATGATATGTTGAATTTTGGTTAAATATCTATATTATGAATATACTTATGCAGAGATTATTATTACTAATAATCCACTCCATTAAATAGTTAACTGTCAACAAAAAAAAAAAAAAAATGTGTTTAGTTTGTTGTTGAAATATAGAAACACAATAAGTTTTAATTTTATTTACATTTTATTGATATTTACGTTATTACTGATTAGTGATTATTAAAAAAAGTATAGATACGTCATACGTCTATAGCAACATAATTAAGATATAAGTGCTTTAAATGTAATTTGAATGAAAGTTGAGATTCAATCAATTTTTATGTCAGATGATTTATTTATTTAGTTTATTGAATATTTGATATTTTATTTTTACAGATGTTTTAAAGTTAGTGAGAAAATTTTTTTTGGGCATATCGCGTATGTATATTTAGTATTGTGTATTATGTGTTTTGCATTTCATATTACCTAGTCTAGACATAAATACCAACAGTACTATGCTGTTTAGGAAAATGTTGACTTATAAATGTTGCAACACTATAAATATACTATAATTAGAGTCAGATACATTGCTCAATCACAGAAATTGTTGTAGTATTCATAGTAACGATGTACAAGCCATCTGTTTACGGACCTATTAAAGGCAATAAGACATGAAGATCCAAAAAGCTGCTACGCCTGTACGGTCGAAAAAAATTAAAAATATTTTATTTACAGATGAAAACATTTTTATTGTTGAGGAAAAGTTTAACAAGAAAAATGATATTGTAGGTCATCACTAGAGACGAAAGAGAAGGTTTCACGTGTTCAACGAGGCCACCAGCCTGCGCAAGAAATGGGACATTTTGAATAATTTATAAATAGTTAAAATTGTAATTAGTTATGCTATTCAAATATATTTATAAAATATTAAAATTTATAAAAATTTTATACGACTTTGTTGTTTTTAGGTAATATACGTTTGAAGTACTGACAGTATTTATATGTCTAGAGTCTAGACTAGGTATTATCTATTTATAAACTTTAGCCTGGTTTGTGGCCTAGCATTTCTAATACTAATATATTTCGCAGAATCAGCTAAGTTGAACGCGGTTAAACCCTTTTGTAATGCCATTATTACAACAACGAAATACACAACTTCACTTTCCAAAATCTTGGAATTTGAAATTGAAAATTTTTATTTTAGAGGAAAAATTTAACAAGCAAAATTATATTGTACATGCTAGGTAATCACTAGAGGCGAAAGAGAAGGTTTCAACGAGGCCACCAGCCTGCGCAAGTAATGGTTTGGTGGGGTGTTTCATGGCATGGTGTTACAGAGATCCATTTCTGTGAGAAAGGGGTTATAACTGGGGCTCGTGTTTATCAGACAACTGTCTTAGACCCTATATTAAGGCATCTTAATAGTACATTGTTCAAAGGAATCGATTGGGTATTTCAACAGTATGCGGCACCTGGCCATAAGGTAAAAACGACACAACATTGGCTTGAAAACAGTGTTCCAAATTTCATTAAGGCATCTGATTGGCCTTCCGAAAGCCCGGACATAAGCCCACTTGATTGTGGTTTATGGAGCATTTTAGAGTAGAGAGCGTGTAAAAAACGACACATAAATTTGGAGTCGCTCAAACGAAGCATTGTGAAGGCAGTGGCAGAAATTCCGTTAGAAACGATTCGTACGTGTATTGAACAGAGGCCGGAACGTTAACGTCGTTGTATTGAAAATGTAGGGGGACATTTTGAATAATTTATAAATGGTCAAAATAGTAATTAGTTATGCTATTCAAATATATTTATAAAATATTAAAATTTATAAAATTTTTATACAACTTGTTTTTCTTAAGAATAATATACGTTCGAAGTACTGACAGTATTTATATGTCCAGAGTCTAGACTAGGTATTATTTATTTTTAAACTTTTGGTTTGTGACCTAACATTTCTAATACTAATATATTTCGCAGAACCAGCTAAGTTGAACGCGGTTAAACCCTTTTGTACTGCCATTATTACAACAACGAAATACACAACTTCACTTTCCAAAATCTTGAATATTGAAGAGTATTTTGAACAAAAAGTAGAAGAAAATTAAATATTTTGTTAAATTATTTTAAGATAAATATAAATTAAACTGTATAGTATAACATTACACCACATTATATTGTATTAACACTATTCTAATTATAATTACATACCTACCATAACCTATTTTAAATACTAATATATATTTTAGATTCTTAATGGAACGATGAATGTATTGATTTTACAAAGACGTGTATTTTTTTTTTGTGTCTGTCATCACCATTTTTGACAGTAAAAGTGCTTGGATTTTTTTCAACAGTATCTTTTCTGATATTAAAGTGAATCTAGTAGGCGCAGTGAAAAACAAAAGAAAAATTAAAGAAAAACGGGAATTTTTACTCAAAATCTGTTTTCGAGAAAATCGATTTTGGTTTTTGGTGTAACTTTAAAACAAATAACCGTAGATAAGTGAAATTTTCACTTGTTGTTTATATTTGAATTTTCTATACACGATAACATTTTGATTTATTTTGAACTGTTTAGGGACATTTTCAGTTTCCAAATTTAATTAGTTTTTTTTTTTTATGAATATCAATAAAAATGTATTAGTTGCTTAAAAAAGCTTGAAAATTTAATAAATATTAGTTATTTTTTTTTTTAATACCAAAGATTAGTATATAATACGCCTTATACCTAGATTGACATACCGTCTACGCTCAGAATTGTTTTTCTTATACCATGATATTATATCATTGAATTAAAATTTAATACTATCCATTATACAGTGACCCACTTGTAACCTGCTGTACAGCAGAGCACCTTTTTTTCTTTAAAAGCCGTATAGGCTTAGCTGCCTACTTTAAACTTTATCATATGCCGGTTCCCAGTCTTCTAAAATGTATTCTAATAATTCCTTGACACTTCTTTGCATCTTTTACGCAATCTTTCTATTGGTCTCTTTCCCTTCACTATATATGTCATTGATCGATTGATCCTTTCAACATACTTCCATCACCCCGCTATACAATCAATAGAGGCGTAAACAGGGGTGGGGGTTTAACCGGCTGAAGCTACCAATCACCCGTATTATATTATTTAAAAAAAATATTTATCAACTTTCAACTTTCAACTATGGTCAGCAGAACGTAAATTTCATATAGGTCTTACCAGAATGAATTCATTTTTGAAAAAACATTGTTTTTGCATACCAATTTTCATAAATTATCTGTAATTTTTCGGTTAAAGTGTATATTTTAATCAAATACAAAATATAAAATACAAGCCTTATAGGTACACATTTAATATTTTATAAGTTTTGTACAACAAATTAACTGTGGTTAATATAAATTTATAATTTTTATTTTCTAAATAATATATTGAAAACTATTAAAAATATTAAATAATATATGATCCAACCGATGCAAAACGAAACTTTTATCAAATCAAACATTTTTGCATTATTTTAATAAAACCACTGGAAGAAAATTAATATCTTTCATTAAAGTAACTTCCAGGCGAAGTCAGCATGTTGAGAGTATCACAATCATACGGCATAATAATAAGTGTGACGTTTAAACGCTGCATATTAAGTTTTTTGATCGGGTTGGCGATCCGTATAGATTTTTTAGATGCTTATAAATTCAACAATTTTTATGAAATTACAATCGAACTTTAGGAAGTATTTTTAATTTACTACCACTTTTAGTAGTTCTTATAGTTATGTAAACAAGAATATATTTCATATTTTGCGAAGTATTGACATGTGCGTGCTCATGTGAGAGTCACATTCAAATTAAAAAAGTGTTTGAAAATCATTTAACTACCTAACAAGTAATTCTTTGTTCTGAGTTTATTCGCTCTGTGGACTTTCATCTCCTGAGTTCACCTCAAAGAAGATACTCAATACTTGCACGCTGTACATACAGGTAAGAAATTATATTAATATATTATTTCATACCCAATGGTAATAATTTGTAATAATATTAATTAATTAATGAAATCATCAAATAAAAAAGCCTACATGCATAAGCTCAAATTGGGCTTTAGGGGCTCAGCCCAACACCCAAATGTCAATAGTCTCCCCAAACATTTCCTACTATTTTTAATAACAAAATCGTTTTTAAATTTTAAATTTGATAAATGTTTTCATAAATCGAACTTTAAATGCTTCTTAAAAAAAAATGTGAGTATGTATTTTTAATATTTTTCAACCGGCTATTTAAGCGATATATCAGGAGCCTAAAGCTCTAATGGGAAATAATCTTACAAGAAAATATTGCATTACATTTTAAAATCTTAGATTTAAAAAGAAAAATGTTTAGGAATTTCTAATTCAAAATAATTTGCACATTTTCTTAATTTTGACGCTTTTTGTCGAAATTTGAACTTTAAAAAAAAACTGTGACAGGGTTTTTGATAATTTTTCAAATTTCATTGAAACAATAAGAGACTTGTAATACATTTTCAAGCTTTTTACAAAACAAATAAAATTAAAAAACTTGGAAACTGAAAATGTCCGTAAACAGTTCAAAACAAATCAATATATTTTGAAAATTTTATCGTGTATAGAAAATGCTAATATAAACAACCAGTGAAAATTTCATGTATCTATGGTTGCCTTAGACCATTATAATTAGTTTTGGCCAACGCGGCATTTGGTAGAGTGTTATATATTTTGTCGAAAACCATTTTTGCGTAAAAATTCCATATTTTTCCTTAATTTATCTTTTCTTTTTCCCTGCGTTTTCAAAAAGTATTAGGAATTTTATACTTTAGTACAAATGTACCAACTGGATTCACTTTCCAAGCAGAAAAGATACTGTTGAGGAATATCCAAGAATTTTTACTGTCCTAAAAATGGAGAATAAGGGACAATCCACCTATTATCAATATTGAAAGTACTTCCTCTGATATTTGACGTAGCGCTCTGGCCTCCATTTTCGGCGTCACGACGACGATAAACTGGATATTCGTCCTCTCCGTTTTGGGTATCGTTGACGAAACGTCGAGGGTACTTTTTTGTGCAGATACCGTTTTTCATACATGGTGCTGTTAAAGTTATGCTCCCCGCATGGACCGTGCACCATATTTTTATTCACGATATCGTACAATATCGGGTCGTTTTGTTGGTTGGGCAGTTCTGCAAATATGAAACTATCAATTTCGTCTGGTTGTATTTTTCTTTCTAGCCAAAACAGCAAACGACAGTGAGGTAAACCCCGCTTCTGCCACTCCACACTTGCCATGTAACATTTCACTTTGCCGAATATTTCATCTTTTGTGAATAATTTTATGAATTTTTTCATCTTTAAATGAAATACCCTTGAAATTATGTCTTGACGATCGAAAGACCGCTGTCCAGTTAATAGTTCTACTTTAATTTCAGGCCATTCGGGGTTACACGTAAAAGTAACAAATAAGTCTGGTCTCTCGTAGTTGCGGACATAAGTCATCGCATCTTGCGTTTTTTCGTGTAGATAACGCGGAGAACCTGTGAATGAAGACGGCAAGATTACGCGCTGACCGATATTTGATGGGTGAACATTTGCGTCTTGGTTTAAAGTGTCTCTGAGGTGAATATATTCTTCAGCCCTCAGTCTCTGTTGATTACGGCATATGTAATTTAATCGTTCCGAAATAATTTTTGCCATCATATCGACAATATATTGGCTAAATAAGTCCCTGTAGTAATGTGGTGGATTAAAACCATCTCTAACCATCAATCTAAATGCATAAAATTGCATACAGGTCACAGTTTTATTACGGGCAGTACCTTATTGAGGAATGGTCAAATAATAGTCGTCTTCTCCCATTACAAACATCAATGGATATTGGAGAGGATCGTAAGATCTGTGTAATTCAGAGACCCTTTTAAGTTGGCCGTCTCTACACGGTAATTGGCACGATATCTCTGGGACCTTTTGCTTCATCTAAAAAAAGAACGGCTACCTCGTTTACAGCTGGAGCATTATATCTGCCCGGGTGTGCTGTCTGTATTGGGCGGTCGGAGTGAATAATTAACTTTAAATTATCCGAAGAGTTTTGTTCTAAGTTTTGTTTAAAACTTTGTATATATATATTGTGGCTGTTCAGTGCGGTCAGTAGTTCTTTAATTAAATCAATGTTTAGCGTTGGAGCTATGTTTGACCGCAACGATAGCTGATCTGCGTCTGAAATAAAATAAATCTGCAAGAATTGCGGATTTTGGCCTGATAGTGGTAAAAGACTAACTATAAGGTGATAAACTTGGCCCTCTATTTTAAAAGTGGGCATACAATTTTGTTCTCTAATTTCTTTCTGTCAGAACATTTAGAGCAGATCTTATTCATGGCTCTGATTTGGACGGAAGACTGTTGAGCATAATCAATCTGTGGATCGTATGTGAAAGCCGATCTGTTACTATGAGCTAAAACTCGATTGCGAACTCTATCCGTTGACGTCTGTTGTTTTTCTCTCTGATTTTGAAGGCGCTCGGAACGTTCAAAGTTCGATTCCCTAGCGCGAGCTTGTACATTTATAATATTTTGTTCTTCAAGCCGCTGTGAACGCTCGATACTTGACTCTCTTGCACGCGATTGCGACGCGTATTCTCTCTGACTTGCAAGACGATTTTTAGTTTCTGATTGAGATTCTCCATGACGACGTATTTTTATTGCCCTAGCCTGTGAACTATTTCTAGAAAGTTGAGATCTTGTACTTTTGGGCATTTTAAAATGAGAAAAAAAACTAAACAGTAATGTAATGTATTGTTTATACACACGCCGCCATGATGCCGATAACGGTCGTACATCACAGTCGTAGGCATTACGGACATATTATACTAACTATTTCTCCTATGATCAATAGGCAATAGCCACCATTTTCAATAAACAACAACCAATAATTATTATTTATTATTATAATAGCTTTAAAACCCATGGTAACTATTTTTAAACACAAATTTCTATCGTAAATCTCAAAATTCCAGTTTGAGCACCTCCCCTGGGTGATCAATTCACTTTTTAAATTAGCCTATATTCATCAATGATAATGTCGGCTTCTAATGGTAAAACAATTTTTAAAATCTGTCCAGTAGTTTCGGAGCCTATTCAATACAAACAATCAAATTTTTCCTCTTTATAATATTAGTATAGATATAGATATAGATAATATGTCAATATTAACTTTAAGTAAACACTTTATCTACGGTGAGTCTATAAAAATCTTCTGTTAGATAATATACGTACCAATACGCATTGTCAAGTTGAAAGTGAAGCTTGACAGACTAATGATTTTAGTATTAATATAATAAGTAATAACACGACAATGTGATTATGTATAAGTATAATATATAATAACGTACAACTGGACAATTAAACTGTGACTGTACACACACACTGTATACCTACTGTAAGACGGCCCCTGTGCAAGTGAGTATTACATACATCAAAGGCCCTATATATATGCACGACCGAGGTCATGTTACATCCGCAAAGAGAGTGAGACTTACGCTCGTATAACTAGTTACTAAATTGTACACACGTGTCAAGGCTGACTACATATATTAATTGTATATTTCAACAGTCAATAGTATCAATGAATAAATGCTATCATTTAAAAAGTGATTAACAATTATGTTGTAAAGTGAAGACTAAAAGTAATTTAGGAAAAACTAACATTTCAACTATTTTTAATTACCTAAAATCCGTGATAATTTAGAAATTTTAAAACCAAAATTTAAAATTATTTATTAATTGTAATGAAAAAAATCAAACCCAAATCAAATAGTCCAAGTCAGTTTTTAAGTATTTTATCTATTCTATTTTTTCTTTTACTATCTTGTGTTTGTTTTTTTTTTTTAAATATCAACAATTTATATTTTGTTTTATTTTTTTGCTATTCTCTAAGTATTTTTCAATTTATTTTATTTTATCTGTTTTATCTGTGGGAATGGTAAACTTGGCCCTCCCATTATGTTTTTTGATTTCTAAGTATTCGGATGATTTAAAAATTCGGGGAATGAATTTACAACTATTTGCAATGGAATTACAATTGTTTACAATTGGTCCGGAGTCAATAGGTGAAAGTGGGGGGGGGTAAACTTCAGATATGTATATTTCTGCATAAATACCATACTCAAATGACAATACATAGGTAACTGAACCAATCCTGAAAAATTATTTTCGTAGAGCTGTATTTCAAATGGGAACGCACCAGGACCCGTTTGGACCAATTTTTCTAAAACACCACTCGTTTGGACCAATTTTGAAGACCCGTTTGGACTAAAAAATATTACTTCTATACAACTCGTTTGGACCAGCATTTTCCTTCCCATTTTATTTTTAACAGGCTTAGGACTGTCTTTAGCACGGTTAAAAATGTTGTTTCTTATTATTATTATTATTATTATTTAATTGTGTATAATATTAAAAAAATAAATAGGTACATAAGGTACAAATTATTAATTTTTTAAATACGAGTCGACTGAATTACGAAAATATATTTTTTTAATGAACTATTTAAATTCGAGCTGCTTGAAACTTTTGTCCAATAATCTTTAAATACGTCAATTGAGATATCTCACCATTTTTATATTGTGCCCATCGTGCATGTAGTATGTTGTGTTTTTTAATGAACTATTTAAATTTGAGCTGCTTGAAACATTTATCTATTATTGTATTATACTTATGATGTATAATATAACTGTGGGTTTTTGGTCAGTTATCAATTATAAATAATTTTGTTTTGTACATAATCTACAAATTACAAATTAGTTTACACAGTTAAACTGAACATCTTATTACTCCGACGATGGCGCGATTTGCTCTCCGATACTTAAGCTTAACCAATGTAAACTAAAAGCGCGCGCGTACGGCCTAAGCGGGCTTTCTAGTAAATATTTAGAAACTAGAAATACTTTATTTAAAATGTACTAAAAAAATTGGACCAAACGGGTTCACAAAATCCTGGTCCAAACGGGTTGCATTTTTATTGGTGACCTAAACGTCCCTGGCCCAAACGTGCCTCGCCCCTGAGGGCTGACACTATAGTAGGTAGGTAGTATCTTTGCTATGTTTAATTTTGCGTATCTACTAATTATTTACTCAAGTGCTATGAAAAATAATACATATGGCGTTTACTAACATATAGTGAATAATATTATTATTGTTATGTTATATTAATAGCTACCTACTAAATAAACAACTTATTTTGCACATGTTTTGTTTTGTACTCAGGGAGTGTATTGGTTAGTAACATATTATTGCTTGTAAAAGAAATCGAGAAGTAGTTTTCTATTTCATGAGTTGTTCGGCATTAAAATTATTTATTATTATTATTTTCTCTTATTAAAATATTAAATCAGAATGATTTTTATTGAGCAATATTTAATTAAGCTTACATTTATAGCAATTTCAGTTTGGGTTATGCCTGCAGCTACTGAACCAGATATAAAAAATTTAATTGGTAAGGATTACTTAATTGATTTAAAATGATTATAATATTTGTGTTATAATTTTCATTTTGCGGAGATTTAACAATTAAAGACAATGGTTTTTATAATGCTATAATTAATTTTAATATAAAAAATAATTATTGTAATTTTACGATAATCTAAAGACAAACAGACCATACACCATTTCTTACTTTTCAGTTTAACATAATATGATATAGTCATATAGATAATAAAAATGCAATGCTTTAGAAATGCTTTAAAAAGTATTAAATATGCTGACGTTACATTTGTATAAACTGAATCTAGTACATCCGGTGAAGTATAGTAAATAGTAATATGTAAACTCATAACATTTGTTTGATTTATTTCAATTTGATTTTTGTTTCGTCAAGCAACAATCAATTAATATTATCAACAATAACTTAAATATTTGTTTTACATTGTTGTAGAACCTTATTATTAATAATTTATAATTGATAGTTGTTTAGAAATTGTTTCAAATTAAATAATTTACCTATACAAAATAATCAGACGGATATGGTTAAATATTTTTAATAGTTTACCTAATTTGAGTAAATATACAAAAATGACTTAAAAATGATTTTTTTCAGAGCTCTGTAAAAGTAATGTTTTTAATTAATACCTAATTAAATAGTAACATAGTACAGTTTTAGGTACATTACACAATTTTATATAAGTACAAAAAAATATTGTTCTAGTGTAAAATGGGCAAATGAAGGAAATCATATCAAAATAAATTCATAAGAGAAATAATATGGACAGTTTTGGGTCAATAAATAACCACAAAATGTTAGGTGTAAAAGGAGAGTGGTAGAGCAAAAAAACATAGATTAAGAAGACTAAGAAGCAATACAATAACCTAAACATATACAACGGAAACATCATTGTAGATACTGGATCATAATGGTAAATTGTGGTTAGTTGGAAATAAAATTAGGAAACGAAACACATAACTAAGATATGTGATGAAACCGACTCTAGAAATAAAAAGGTCCTAGG